GGTGCGGGCTGGTACGGGGCGGCAAGGGAGAGCGGGCCGAAACGCCAGGAAACACATGAAAACCACTGTTGAGCTCTCGCAAATAATGGTAGCGAGGAAGGGAAGGTTTTTTTTGGTCTTTGCCCAGAAAAGTTCTGGATGCCCCATCCCTGGAAGTGTTCAAGGCCAGGCTGGATGAGGCTTTGAGCAACTTGGTCTAGTGGAAGGTGTCCCTGCCCATGGCAGGGGGGGTGGAACTGGATGGGCTGTAAGGGCCCTTCCAACCCAAACCATTCCATGGTTCCAACTGGCGATGGAAGACAAGCGTTTGGGATTCCTTCTGCGTACCTTGCGTGGACGTGCACACACTTACACAGGCTGCCCATCCTCCTTAGTACTCGGTGTCTAGTGACAGCTTTCACAAAGGTCAGTTTAGATCCCTTCTAAGAACGTATCGTTACTTCTACAAACCTAGAGGTGACAAAGCTTTTGCTGTAGTGCAGCTGTACTGACTGCACCACTTGTGCGTTGGGCACCCGCTAAGACTAAATCCAGTTGCTTCTGATGTAACCGTGTGTTTTCACAGACCAGCTCTGTTCTGAATGGGCTGTGTAATGTGACTTTCTGGTTATTTTTAGTGACTTCAAAGTGCCTGTTGATGAAAGCAGAAGTGATGGGCTCAAAATCAGGCCGTCGTGAGAAACCAAAAGATGCATTTGAGGATACTGATGGCCTTTATGATCCCGAGTGTGAAAATACTGGTGTCTTCAAGGCGAAGCAGTGCAACGGGACCACCTGTTGGTGTGTGAATACAGCTGGCGTTAGAAGAACAGACAAACATGACGCAGACTTGAAGTGCGATAAGTTAGTCAGAACGATGTAAGTATTTCAACAGAGTGTGCTGTGACACAAAAACATTCCTGTGTTGGGCTCTGCATTACAGAGGATTTGTATGTATGAACGATGTGCTGAGGATGAATGAAGATGGAGCAATAAACGCTCCTTTACTGGTTTGGTTTTGTTTTCCCCTTTAGTACTAAGGAGATTTTAAAGGGTTTTGGAAGGCGTTTCTTTGCTTTTTCTCTTGGTGGGGTTGGTTTTTTTTTTTTTTCCCTGGGGTTGAATTTTTAGTATGCATTGTTACGTGCTTTGAGAATATTTATTCTACTTTCCTATCACTTCAGGCGGATCATGATTGAAATAAAACATGCTGAGAGAAACACTCCTCTTAACGCTGAATCTTTAAACAAGTAAGTGATGATTGTAAGATGTCATGACAGTGTCTGCCTTCACTACTAGATGCTGAGTGTGTTTCTGAACAGCGAAGCTTTCAAAAGCACTGTCCAACTTGTGTGAATTCGTGTAAGACATCTTAAGTGGCCTACAGATCCTTCACAGCGTTGTTTTAACTCTTATTGGAAATAAATTAACTGCTGATGAGATTCACTTCCATTTAAAATTGATCACGAAAAAGGAAACGAAGGCTGTATGGTGAAACTGCCCCAAAAGTAAACTGTCGGAGATGGCAGAGGGACTGCATAGAAACAGCAGGAGAAAAACCCAACAGTTTAGTGCGTGTTTTTTGTTTCTAAATTAAAATCCTACTTTTCTCCGTCAGAGGTCATAGCAAATAAAATGTGCTATTCATCTCCTCCCCGCTGCTGAAACAAAAGCTGCTACTCTCTAGCTCCTCCTCTGAACTCAGGACTGTTCAAAGTCTTCTGCTGCTGCAGTATTGTAGGTGTTGATTTTTTCAGTAGGTACATTTTTGCTGTTGGGAGTTAAGAGCTGTAGTCGATAACAACAGTGACTGTAATGGGTTTGGTTGGGATGGAGTTCACTTTCTTGGTAGCAGTCGGTATGGTGCTGTGTGTTAGTCTGGTGGACAGAACAGTGTTGGCAAGGCACCAGTGTTTTAGCTGATGCTGAGCAGTGTTTGCACGGTGTCAAGGCCTCTGTCTCTCTCTGCTGCCCCAGTGAGTAGGTTGGGGGTGGGCATGCAGCTGGGAGGGGGCAGAGGCAGCTGACCCGAATTGCCATATTGTGTAATGTCATGCACAGCAGTAAAACTGGGGGGAAGTTTTTCCCAAGTAGCTATTGCTCAGAGTTTAGCTGGGCATTTGTCTGCTAGTGCTGAGTGATTGCTTTTGTATCACTTGGGGATTTTTACTTCCCCCACCCAACCCTTTTACTTTAAACTCTCTTCATCTTGACCCAGGAAAAGGTGGTTGGCCTTTTTTTTTTTTTTTTTTTTTCCCCTTGAATTTACCCTTCTGATTCTCTTCCCAGTCCTGCTAGGGGAAAGTGACGAGAGCCTGGGTGGGGATTCAGCTGCCAGCTGGGGTCAGAGAGACAGCAGGAAAAAGGACAATTGTACTAGTCTTCCCTGCGTCTGAAAAGAGATGTGCAAGAGCACTGTTGTAATGGCTGTGGTTTTAATCTCTCTGCAGATTCTTCAGGGAAACAATTACCAATCGTTACCTGCTGGATGGACGCTACATAAGCAGTGTTGTGGTAAGAGGCAGATGATTTTTACTACAGTGTCAGAATTTTATTTTGTTGTGAATAGCTTTAAAAACTTGTTTGACTAATGCAGTACAGTGTGAATCCTACGGGAAGCTATCAAAATAGTGTCACTGAGCAGCTAGCAAATAGCTGTATCTGAACTGAAATACTGGGAGATTACATATTTCTCTCCTCAGTCCATAGATAAGAATTCTCTGCTTCAGTAAAAAAGTGTAATTTGAATCGTACTGCACGCAGTTGGCTTGAACCAGTACTCAGCTGGATTCAGGATGTTGGATAACAATGTTTTGCTGTGTGTTTGATAGCTGGATTTAAACTAGCCCCTTCCTAATGCCATACTATGCATTTTTACAGTATGAAAAACCTTTAATTACTATTGACTTGAAGCAAAATTCCTCAGAGAAAACTCTTGGAGATGTGGATATAGCTGACGTGGCCTACTACTTGGAAAAAGATGTAAGTGTGTGGTGGGTAAAGTCTACCAGAGATGAGGTGTGCATATGTCGTGTTGCGTGCAGTGGCCTTGCTGGGTGCTGGCGGAAGCAAGGTGGATTAGTGCAGTGCCTGGCCAGGTGCCTGATACAATGTGAACTAGCAAGTCTCTTCTTCCCCCTCTCTGTTCTTAGGTAAAAGGTGACTCCATCTTTCATAATAACAGACTAAACATCAGTGTTGATAATGAAATGGTGAGGATGGAGAAGACTGTGGTCTACTACCTTGATGAAATACCACCAGAGTTTTCCATGAAGTCCCTGGCTCCTGGCCTCATTGCTGTCATTGTAGTAATAATAGTAGCGGTAGTTGCTGGAATTGTTGTTCTGGTAAGTTCTAACAAAGCTGCCATGGGGTTAACAGGGTAGTTTGGGCAACAACAATGTACCAGGGTAATTGAACTCGAGTAGGGGAACAGTCTTCCTTCTCTTTGAGACCTGGGAGGTGGGAAGGAGGCAATGGTCATTCTGTCACTGTTGCAGGTTACACCTGAAGGGTGTTGCGTGGAAAACGAAAGTATTAGGAAAAACTGAGGTGAAGAAAGCACCTGTCTTGCCTCCTGATTTAAAGTATTGGAGAGTGACAGGCAGCCTCCTTGTGTACCTTCCTTTGGAAGGAGGGAGAAGGGACAGTTTCTGGCTTGGAGTTTCAAAGTCACAGCCAGATAAAGTTACATAAAAGTCAAGGCTTAACTACAACGTCTCACTTCTGTCTTTCTCTTACAGGTCCTCACAAGGAGGAGGAAAGGGAAGTACGTGAAAGCAGAGGTAATTAACTTCTGTTTATGGGGGGTGGGGAGGTGGGGCAGAGCTTGGCCAGAATTCAGAAACTAAGTTTGCTGCAGATGAAAAGCTTGCTTTGGGTGCTTCAGATGTGTTCAAGGAGACTGAAAGTATTGAAAATCCGCAACCAGTTTTCATCACTATCGTTCACAATGTTCATTCTGCTAGTAGTTTCAAAGCCACCTAGTGATGATCTGCTGCATTTCCAAGGGGTGGGAGGCAGGCAGGCAGCAAGCACCATTTTTACATATCTATAGGGAGAGCTGTACAATCCACAGGAAATACCGATCACTGCCTTCTGTCCTGAAGACCTTTACTTGAGGCGCTTGCAGCTCCTATTGAAGAGCTGCTTTCAGTGGAATAGTAACAAATGGCTCTAGTTCATGGTGATTCACCCCAACTGTAGAGCCGTTGTCAAGGAATCCGAAGGATGTTTTACCTAAATAGGGTGCCTGCAGGGAGCAGGCTTTGGAGTGCTGGTTTTTTTTTTTTTTTTTAATAATTAAACCCCCTGAAGTGCTATGGTGGGCTTGGCATGTTTGATTCTGTCAGTGTTATGTCAAATCCCTTTGCTAATGAAATTAAGTCCCACTGTATTGAGAAGTTGCACAAATGCCTCTCTGTCCCCTCCAGGTGAAGGAGATGAATGAAATGCATAGAGGCCTGAACTCGTAACTGAATCCCATCGGCTGAGGATGAAGTAAGATTTAAACAAGACAACAGAAATTGTGGAGGCATGGATCTTAACTCTTAAAGAATTCCCCCTTGAAAGGGAGGCAAATCTTACTCAAGTCCAACTTAACTACTGCTCCCTGATTTTATTTTGGGTTTTTTAAGATGATGAAATGAGTTGACAACTGCTGTTACTAGGGTGTTGGAGCATTACCTGCTTTTACCCTTGTGGGAGGTTTATTGAGAATAATGATTTTTGTAGCCATGTTGTAACAAGACTCTCTCCTGTATAACTGAACCTGCTGTTTTTATGGCTGTTTGTACATATTTGAAGTTGGTGTAACTTTTTTATGACTTGAATTAATAAAACTTTGAAACGGGCTTCTAATTCTTCCGTGATGAAACGATGCCGAGCTGCAAAGTTACTGTGCTTATCCATTCAGCCGTGTAGTATTTCCTTAAAGCAAGCAACCCCAGCCTGAGAATATTCCAGAACTCTGATTAACAAAGTTTTGTATTAGACAACTAATCTCTCAATAGCATGACCCTTAAAGCTGTGAAAAGTATGCTTTAGTCTATTTTCCACTGTAAATGTGCAACAGTAATAAAACATGGATTGTTTATATAAAAAAAATAAACCGTGCTGTGAATGTAGTGATTTCAGGTATGCACAGACTGCTCTTTCAAATGCTATGGAAGTACAGTCAAACATGTCTCTCATCCAGGAACATCCCTGGGGCCTTCTGGGTACCCTGAACCCCCCTGGGGTTGGGGTGGGCAGCCTTGGCAGCTGGGGAAGAGCTGTGACACCATGATTTGGGTGGCTGCATGTTGCCAGGTGGTTGGTCAAGTAGGATCTTTCTGCTGTTGGTTGCTGTTTACTGTCCCCACTGTCTGCCTACCTTCCCAAATTTGGGATAGCGATAGCAGAGCTTGCTTTGGCATTCGGTCACCTCTGCAGTGTATGTTGGCAAGTAAGCGTGAAGGAACTGAACGACAAATCCTATTGCTAATGTGTTTATGTTGACCCCCCCTGGTCTAAAATGGGAAAAGTAGGATGAACTGCTGAGGATATTCTACATACTGTGTTCACAAAATCAAACGTGAGGCAGCCCGGGAGGGCACTTGTGCGCGCCTGCCAAACGCAAGGGGAAGTTAGTGGCCTGCGCTGAAGGTGCCTCTGGTGCCACAGGTCACCAGTACACCTGCCTCCGAACGAGGTGGCAGATGAATCGTGCTGGTTACTGGGCTGGGTGTGGAAACGAAGGTTCCCTTGGGTCCTCCAGCATCTGGTGTGATGAACTCAGGTGTGTACTGAGCTTGCTGCAGCCCCCAGCTTTTGCCCAATTTCGCCTGAGGTTGCAGTCTGGTTTGGGAAGTGGTTTTGCACAGTGATTTGTTCTGTCGAGTTGCTGCTCCCGAGCATGCAAATCTTGATGCAGGGCATTTGCTGGAGTGCTTTGCAGCCTTTTCAGGCGGATTTGTCAGGAACAACTTACGTAGGGCAGTGTCTCTCTCTGCCACTCCCTTTCTCCCCAGGTACGCGGCGGCCTGCTGAGGTTTGCCGATTTTCGTACAGTTCTGTAAGCTGTTAAGCAAACGAAGGCTAGTTTTCACTAAGCTGCCTCTTGCAGAGCCATGTGTTTGCCCTTCCCCAGTGCTTCACTCTCCATATCCTATACTCCCTTAAATGTCTGCTTACGGTATCCTTGCAATTTCCTTATTCTCCCCAGGAGAACAATGCTGTTGTTTCTTCTCCCCCTCCTCCTTCTACCCTCCCCACCCTCACTTCTTGCCTTATTTTTAGCTTGTGGGATGGAAGATGTCATCTGCTGTGGCTGGGCTGGAGCCACACAAGTGCTGACTCCGCTGGCTGGTATGGACCTGCTGTGTGGCCTGGACCTTGTCCTGGTTGGCTTGTTTGAATATCCTTTTCTCCCTAACTTTCCCACAGCAGAGGAAGGCATATAGGGCCCTTTCAATTTTTTTACCTAATGGAGCTTTTCACATTAGGTGCTTGCACAAGCTTAGTGTCTCTAATACAGCCTTCTTCCTTGCCACATTTGACTACAACTAGCCAAGGGCTTAGAAAACCACAAAGGTTACAGAAATTAACTCAAAAATAGTTTAATGAAATCCACAACTGAGGGAATGTACTGTATCTATTTCTAAACTAATTTACTACAGTACAGATATAATCCTGCTCAGCTCTCAGAATGGTGGTCCATAGCAGGTTTTTCCCTAGTTTCCTTTTCTAAATAATTTTATTGACCATTGTATTGGATTTTGTTTTGTTTTGTTCACTAAACACAGCACTTGTTTAACAGTCCGGCTGCATAAAAGTGTGTATTTTATGGGGAAATGGAAAAGGATGAGGGGGACAAGAGTTGAGAAACTACTGTATCAGCACCCTGCAGCTTTATTGTGTTTTAAGGGTTTTTTTTGTAGATAGAAGAGACTGATGTGCTGAAATTAAAAGGGAAAAAAAAAAAAAAGCATGTGATGTTTCTTCTTGTATACAGAGTAGTTTTGAGCTGCTGGCAAAAATTATTGCTATTGAAACATAGCAAAATTCAGTTTTCTCTGTTTTGAAAGCATTCAGCAAAGATAAAAACCAAGTTTCCTGTAAAAGAAACAAACCAGTAGAACTTAATACAAGAGTATTAGTCACTGAATGAATATTTGACAAGGTAAATATTTTAATGCTTCCATTTGCCTAATTCATAAACTTTCTTCTGTGAAGGAGCAGTTTTTTAAATCTGAAGTTCTACACAAATTTGTGAAACCATATTCCCTCTCCTATAATGTAATGTCAATTCTGATAAAGGATATGAAGGGCAGACTAAAGATTTATACAGTAGTTTGAGACAGAATAAATGAGATCTTTTTTACAGAGAGGGGATGGACACAAAGCATACAAGAAACCCTAGTAATAATATTTATCTTAGTGCCTATGTACAACATGGGAAAATAGTGTTTGCATAGGCAAGTGCAAATCTATTACTTCCTTATGAATTATTACACTAGCATGTATATTAGCTATTATTACTGCTGAACAAAATTAAATGTTTATGCAAAGACAATGAGAGGCTTTTTAGAAGAGGATATACAAGTAACATATTTGAGAAAGCATGACCAATAAAGTGTATAAAACTGTCTTCCAAAGACCTAAGTAATCCCTAAGTACAGTTTCCACAATTACGAAATGAAAGGTCAGAGTACGTAGGGTCTGTTGACACTGGCATGCTCATTATGCTCCTAACAATCATAGTAAGTTTGGTAACACAACTAGCATTGTTTGTGAACCATGTTTATTTATACCCTCACCTGCTAGACTTTTATTGCCTTAACAGATAGTGACTTTGGATTACAGACTGCTTGGAATAGCCTGAAAAAAAAATCTAGGAAACTTAAAACCACTGGCAGCTCCACTGCCTCAACTTCACAACTGCTAGTTACTGAATTCTGGCAACTATCAGAACAGGCTACGATCTCCTATCCATTACAAAGGTCCGTCACGGGGCATATGGGCAGTCAGGCACACCGTAGGGGTGGCTCGTAGTTTGGGGATGGTTGGACCCATCCCCGCAGAGTGTTACGGACTTTGCTAAAATCTTTGTCCTCCTTGTCTTCGCAGTGACATGCAATGGCAGAGGTATGCAAGGGAGAGGGAGATAGACAAAGAGGAGGTGGTGTGTAATGTTAGAGACAACACTTACCAGGTTTATAACATGTACAAACTGGATACAGGTAAGAAGTGGGGTTTTTTGCTAACCCCTAAATGTACTGCAGAATCCTCATTCATTCAGGTGCCTGCAAAGTACAGCATGGCTATGTGAAATTGTTCTGAGTGAAGAAAGTGCATACAAGACAGTTAAAAGGTCCTTTACAAGGCAACAGCCACATTTTCTGTTTTCAAACTTACATTAATTAAATATTGTTATCTTGTTGATATTATCTTAAGTCTCTGCCGCATTATACATGTGCACAAATACATCCATGCCAGTCTAATACAACATTTTCTGGTGGCATCCCCACCAACTCAAAAGCATTAGAGCTGCCACTGATCACACTTGTACACTTTAGTGAAAAAGCATTTCTTTTTTTTTTTTTTTCCTTCCCTGCAGAGTGGTTAAAGGACATCCGTTTTCCTAACTGAAAAGCCATTGCAACTTCTCTGTAAATGCCTGTTGTGCATAAGAAGGCAACAAAATTAATTAAGGTCTAGATTAGCATCCCTTTCCCATCTGCCATGTGTGTAACAACTACAGCTATCTTCTCCTTCCTGTCGCTCCTGGTAGGCAAGGGAGAAAGCAGGAAGTGCTCTGTTAGCAACGACAAGGTGAAGCAGCCAAGTCTGGCGACAGGGAGATGGTCAGAGCCAGACCTGTGTGGTGCACTGAGATGCCCTGGAAGAACAGGTGGGATAAAGGAGACGACAGCAACTCAGAGAAAAGGCGATTGATCTGGTGGTGTTTTGTGCAAGAGATGTCACAACGCCAATGTTTTTCATGGACTGTGGTCACTACGCTGAGAGTGTTAGCGGCTGGTTCAGGTGGTGGCTTTCTGCAAGTGGGAACCTGCAGCTCAGCACATCTGCCTTGAGCAAACTGCTGGATGAAGAGGTATAACCAGCCCAGAGGAAAGAGAAGCAAGAAAACATGCAGCAATTACAGCTTAGCGGGCATTATTTTATCTCTTTTGAAGGTGGTAATGAGGTCCCAGGAGTCCACTTCCTCTCCAGCTGTTTGTACAGGACACATTTTCCTTCTTGTCCTATCTTCTGCTTTACCTGTAGTCATCAGTACGCACAAAGACCAGCACTCCCAGCTATTCACAATGTACAATTTGGGCTGACCTGGTATTAGTACCTCTTGGCAAGGTTGCCTGACATTATGACATTATCCCTTTAGAACGCTACATATTTGATAAATGATAATTATTTAGGCTGAGTTGTCCCATGTGAGTACTGCCGCAAGTGAACACTTTTGGTAAAGTATCAG